CTCACCGTGTCATGCTCTACTCACCGTGTCATGCTCTACTCACCGTGTCATGCTCTATTCACCGTGTCATGCTCAACCCACCGTGTCATGCTCTACTCACCGTGTCATGCTCAGCCCACCGTGTCATGCTCAACTCACCGTGTCATGCTCAACTCACCGTGTCATGCTCAACCCACCGTGTCATGCTCAACTCACCGTGTCATGCTCTGTCCACCGTGTCATGCTCTGTCCATCGTGTCATGCTCAGTCCATCGTGTCATGCTCTGTCCATCGTGTCATGCTCTGTCCATCGTGTCATGCTCAGTCCATCGTGTCATGCTCAGTCCACCGTGTCATGCTCTGTCCACCGTGTCATGCTCTGTCCACCGTGTCATGCTCTGTCCACCGTGTCATGCTCTGTCCACCGTGTCATGCTCTGTCCATCGTGTCATGCTCAGTCCATCGTGTCATGCTCTGTCCATCGTGTCATGCTCAGTCCATCGTGTCATGCTCAGTCCATCGTGTCATGCTCAGTCCATCGTGTCATGCTCAGTCCATCGTGTCATGCTCAGTCCATCGTGTCATGCTCAGTCCATCGTGTCATGCTCAGTCCATCGTGTCATGCTCAGTCCATCGTGTCATGCTCAGTCCATCGTGTCATGCTCAGTCCATCGTGTCATGCTCAACCCACCGTGTCATGCTCAGTCCATCGTGTCATGCTCAGTCCATCGTGTCATGCTCAGTCCACCGTGTCATGCTCAACCCACCGTGTCATGCTCAACCCACCGTGTCATGCTCAGTCCACCGTGTCATGCTCAACTCACCGTGTCATGCTCAACCCACCGTGTCATGCTCAACCCACCGTGTCATGCTCAGTCCACCGTGTCATGCTCAACCCACCGTGTCATGCTCAACCCACCGTGTCATGCTCAACTCACCGTGTCATGCTCTGTCCACCGTGTCATGCTCTGTCCACCGTGTCATGCTCTGTCCACCGTGTCATGCTCAGTCCACCGTGTCATGCTCAGTCCACCGTGTCATGCTCAGTCCACCGTGTCATGCTCAGTCCACCGTGTCATGCTCAGTCCACCGTGTCATGCTCAGTCCAACGTGTCATGCTCAGTCCACCGTGTCATGCTCAGCCCACCGTGTCATGCTCAACTCACCGTGTCATGCTCAACCCACCGTGTCATGCTCAACCCACCGTGTCATGCTCAAATCACCGTGTCATGCTCTATTCACCGTGTCATGCTCAACCCACCGTGTCATGCTCAAATCACCGTGTCATGCTCTGTTCACCGTGTCATGCTCTGTCCACCGTGTCATGCTCAGTCCATCGTGTCATGCTCTGTCCACCGTGTCATGCTCAACCCACCGTGTCATGCTCAACCCACCGTGTCATGCTCAAATCACCGTGTCATGCTCAGTCCACCGTGTCATGCTCAGTCCACCGTGTCATGCTCAACCCACCGTGTCATGCTCAACCCACCGTGTCATGCTCAAATCACCGTGTCATGCTCAGTCCACCGTGTCATGCTCAGTCCACCTTGTCATGCTCAATCCACCGTGTCATGCTCAACCCACCGTGTCATGCTCAAATCACCGTGTCATGCTCAGTCCACCGTGTCATGCTCAGTCCACCGTGTCATGCTCAACCCACCGTGTCATGCTCAACCCACCGTGTCATGCTCAGCCCACCGTGTCATGCTCAACTCACCGTGTCATGCTCAGTCCACCGTGTCATGCTCAGTCCACCGTGTCATGCTCAACCCACCGTGTCATGCTCAACCCACCGTGTCATGCTCAGCCCACCGTGTCATGCTCAACTCACCGTGTCATGCTCAGTCCACCGTGTCATGCTCAGTCCACCGTGTCATGCTCAAATCACCGTGTCATGCTCAGTCCACCGTGTCATGCTCAAACCACCGTGTCATGCTCAACCCACCGTGTCATGCTCAACCCACCGTGTCATGCTCAGCCCACCGTGTCATGCTCAACTCACCGTGTCATGCTCAACCCACCGTGTCATGCTCAACCCACCGTGTCATGCTCAGCCCACCGTGTCATGCTCAACTCACCGTGTCATGCTCAGTCCACCGTGTCATGCTCAGTCCACCGTGTCATGCTCAACTCACCGTGTCATGCTCAGTCCACCGTGTCATGCTCAGTCCACCGTGTCATGCTCAACTCACCGTGTCATGCTCAACTCACCGTGTCATGCTCAACTCACCGTGTCATGCTCAACCCACCGTGTCATGCTCAACCCACCGTGTCATGCTCAACTCACCGTGTCATGCTCAACCCACCGTGTCATGCTCAGTCCACCGTGTCATGCTCAACTCACCGTGTCATGCTCAGTCCACCGTGTCATGCTCAACTCACCGTGTCATGCTCAGCTCACCGTGTCATGCTCAACCCACCGTGTCATGCTCAACCCACCGTGTCATGCTCAAATCACCGTGTCATGCTCAGTCCACCGTGTCATGCTCAACTCACCGTGTCATGCTCAACCCACCGTGTCATGCTCAACTCACCGTGTCATGCTCAACTCACCGTGTCATGCTCAGTCCACCGTGTCATGCTCAACTCACCGTGTCATGCTCAACTCACCGTGTCATGCTCAGTCCACCGTGTCATGCTCAAATCACCGTGTCATGCTCAACCCACCGTGTCATGCTCAACTCACCGTGTCATGCTCAACCCACCGTGTCATGCTCAACTCACCGTGTCATGCTCAACCCACCGTGTCATGCTCAGTCCACCGTGTCATGCTCAGTCCACCGTGTCATGCTCAACTCACCGTGTCATGCTCAGTCCACCGTGTCATGCTCAACTCACCGTGTCATGCTCAACTCACCGTGTCATGCTCAGTCCACCGTGCCAAGAGTAAACATCAGGATTAAGGACCTGTGTGAAACACTGCATGTACCAATGGCTGTACACGAATGTAAGAGCTCTTTTATATATAAATAAATAAATAAAAAATGCTCCCATTAGTTGAGCTCAGACCTTGTGATCCCTGATTGGCTTCCTCTAATCCATCCGTCGCTGATTGGTTGGGTTGAATCAGCACGTCAGGATTCCCACACAACACCCATTTCTATATATACAACAATGACCACAATACACCCTTTCTGCACACCTACATGAAATACAACACCCCCCCCTCCATCCCCCACCACAATAAATCTGAAAAAGTCCCTACACCTCTACACACCTTTACAATAAACCCCAAAACCCCCACTGCACCACAACTCGCTTTATTTTCCTGTTTCACTCAGATTATCTTTCCCACTTCTCCCTTCCATTTTTTAGTACAACTCCAATCACCTCTTCCATTACAACTTCCATTTCACCTTCCCTCTCCCAGTACACTCAAAGCACCCGTACTAATGAACCAAAGTGTACTCCCTCAACCCCCCTCCTAGTACACTGCCCCCTACACAGAATACCACTACTATACACACTTCAATATACACACTTCAATATACACTTGTAACACACCCTCTAGATCCTCTCGGATATACACTAGCCAAGGGGCCTGACGGCTGAGTGGACAGCGCTAGAAATTCGTAGTCCTCTGGTTTCGGGTTCGATCCCCGGTGGAGGCGGAAACAAATGGGCAGAGTTTCTTTCACTGTGATGCCTCTGTTCACCTAGCAGTAAATAGGTACCTGGGAGTTATAGACAGCTGCTACTGGCTGCTGCTTCCTGGGGGATGTGTAGCAAAAAGGAGGTCTGGTCGAGGACCGGGCCGCGGGGACGCTAAGCCCCGAAATCCTCTCAAGATAACCCCGGCGGAAACGCCTTCCTCTCATGCACTATAAGCATCTCAAGGTGTGCCTGGATTAATTAACAGCATCTCACCTGATAATAAAGTGTTTTACCTGCAGTTTTTGCTGAGAATATTTACACACAAACAGAGGTGTCTCTGGTGGAGAGATCTACGGCCCGGGCTCCTAGTATGTTGACGGCACACTCCAAGATTTATGGCCGGTTTGGGCTTATTGGAGTGATGCACCAGGTGATGTGTGTGTGTGTGTGTGTGTGTGTGTGTGTGTGTGTGTGTGTGTGTGTGTGTGTGTGTGTGTGTGTGTGTGTGTGTGTGTGTGTGTGTGTGTGTGTGTGTATACTCACCTATTTGTGCTTGCGGGGATTGAACTTTGTCTCTTTGGTCCCGCCTCTCAACTGTCAATCAACTGGTGTACAGGTTTCTGAGCCTACTGGGCTCTATCATATCTACATTTGAAACTGTGTATGGAGTCAGCCTCCACCACATCACTGCCTAATGCATTCCATCTGTCAACTACTCTGACACTGAAAAAATTCTTTCTAATGTCTCTGTGGCTCATCTGGGTACTCAGTTTCCACCTGTGTCCCCTTGTTCGCGTTCCATCCGTGCTAAAGAGTTTGTCTTTATTAACCCTGTCAATTCCCCTGAGAATTTTGTAGGTGGTTATCATGTCTCCCCCTTGCTCTTCTGTTTTCCAGGGACGTGAGGTTCAGCTCCTTCAGCCTTTCCTCGTAACTCATACCTCTCAGTTCCGGGACAAGTCTGATGGCATACCGCTGAATCTTCTCTAACTTTGTCTTCTGTTTAACTAGATACCGATTCCAGGCAGAAGCTGCATACTCCAGGATTGGTCTGACATAAGTGGTATACAGGGTTCTGAACGATTCCTTACACACGTTTCTAGAGGCAGTTCTTATGTTGGCCAGTCTAGCATATGCCGCTGATGATATCCTTTTGATGTGGACCTCTGGGGACAGGTTCGGTGTGATATCAACCCTTAGATCTTTCTCTCTATTTGACTCTTGCAGCATTTCACTTCCTAGATGGTACCTTGTGTTCAGCCTTCTGCTCCCTTCGCCTAATTTCATTACTTTACACTTTCCTGAGTTGAACTTTAGCAGCCATTTTCTAGATCATGCCTCCAGTTTGTCCAGGTCATCCTGTAGTCTCTGTCTATCTTCATTTGTCTTGATTCTTCTCATAATCAGCAAACATTGAAAGGGATGAGTCTATACCCTCTGGAAGATCATTTACATATATTAGAAACAGCATGGGTAAAAGTATAGAGCCCTGTGGGACTCCGCTGGTGACCTCTCGCAACTCTGATGTCTCTGATGCTCCAACTTTTGTTACAGCCTTTTATAGGGTACTGTGTCAAAGGCTTTCTGACAGTCCAAGAAAATGCAATCTGTCCACCCTTTTCTTTCTTGCCTAATTTTTGTTGCTTGGTCATGGAATTCTATTAAATCTGTGAGACACGACTTACCATCTCTGAACCCATGTTGGTGGTGAGTCACAAATCTATTGCCCTCTAGATGCTCTACGAACCTTTTTCTCACTATTTTCTCCATCACCTTGCATGGTATACAAGTTAGGGAAACTGGCCTATAGTTCAGTGCCTCTTGCCTGTCTTCCTTCTTGTATATTGGGACTGCATTAGCTGTCTTCCAACTTTCCGGTAGGTCTCCTGTTTCCAGTGACCTGTTATACACCATAGAGAGTGGCACACTTAGTGCTTCTGCACCTTCTTTTAGTATCCACGGTGAGATTCTGTCAGGCCCAACAGCCTTTGTCACATCCAGCTCCAACAGACACCTTTTGACCTCATCACTGGTGACGTTAAATTCCTCTAAGATTGCTTGGTTTGCCGCCTCCTCATTTAGTGCAGGGGCTTCTCCTTGTTCTTCCGTGTAGACCTCCTGGTCTCTCCTGTTGAGTTCTTCACACACCTCCATGTCATTCTCTGTGTATCTGTTCTCCCCATTTCTCAGTTTCATCACTTGTTCCTTCACTGCTGTTTTCCTCCTGATGTGGCTGTGGAGCAGTTTTGGTTGGGTCTTGGCTTTACTCGCGATGTCATTTTCATACTGTCTCTCTCTGCTTCTGCCAAGAACAATCTCCTGCAGCCAACTCCATCAGCTCTAGGGCTTCCAGACTCCAGCTGGGATACAAACACTAGCCACCCAGCCAATGTACTGACAACCCAACATACCTCATACCGAAACAAAGGACACACACATAAGCCATCCCACGGTGGACAGGCCACCGAACTTTCAAACCTCCTCTCTCTCTCTCTACACCCGCATCCTTTTCCAGAATTTCACCTCCCCCATCCCTCTACCTCCCACATCCTTTCCAAACCGTTTGGACATCAAAGAGTTTACCATGGTATTCCCCTTAGGAAGTTCCTCATCTCATCATATTTTCCTCTTCAGTAATTTAGTCTTTTCCCTTCTGATCCCATCCTTGGATATGTTATCCCTACTTCCACCAGATACTCAAATATCAGTACACTGTGGTCACTCATTCCTATGAGGGCTTCAAATTTGACTTCCCTTAATTCTGACTCATTCAATATGAATATCAAGTCGTGTCTAGCTGGTTCGTCGTTGCCTCTCATTCTTGTGGATCACTGACGTGTTGGCTCAGAAAGTTCCTTGTTGCCACTTCCAAGAGTTTAGCTCTCCACGTGTCTTCACCCCCATGTGGGTCCCCATTCTCCCAGTCTATCTTTCCATAATCACCCATGATTAAGAGTCTGGATCCCATTCCTGCAGACAACTGAAGCTCCTGTGTGTGTGTGTGTGTACTTACCTAGTTGTACTTACCTAGTAGTGCTTGTTGGGGTTGAGCTTTGGCTCTTTGGTCCCGCCTCTCAACTGTCAATCAACTAGTAAACAGATTCCTGAGCGTCTCGAGCTCTATCATATGTACATTTGAAACTATATATGGAGTCAGCCTCCACCACATCACTGCCTAATGCATTCCATTTACTAACTTCTCTGACACTGAAAAAGCTCTCTCTAACGTCTCTGTGGCTCATTTGGGTACTCAGCTTATCACTTGTGTCACCTTGATCGTGTACCACCCGTGTACTCTGGCCTCCTATTTCTTCCCCCTAGTTTCATTATCTTACATTTACTCGTGTTGAACTTTAGTAGCCATTTGTAGGACCATTTGTTTAGTTTGTCTAGGTCATCTTGTAGCCTCATACTATCTTCCTCTGTTTCAATTCTCCTCATGACCTTTGCATCATCAGCAAACAATATGAGGAGCGATTCTATACCCTCTGGGAGATCATTTACATATATCAGAAACAGTATAAGTCCAAGGACTGAACCCTGCGGGACTCCACTGGTGACGCCTCGCCAATCTGAAACCTCACCCCTCACACTGACTCGCTGTTTTCTGTTGCTTAGGTACTCCCTTATCCAGCGGAGTACCTTCCCTTTCACACCTGCCTTCATCCCCAGTCTGTGCACTAGTCTCTTGTGTGGTACTGTGTCAAAGGATTTCTGGCAATCCAAAAATATGCAGTCTGCCCAGCCCTCTCTTTCTTGCCTGAATTTTGTTGCCTGGTCGTAGAATTCATGAATCCTGTGAGGCAGGATCTGCCATCCCTGAACCCATACTGATGTTTTGATTCAAAGTTCTTCCGCTCAAGGTATTCCAATAGTTTGTTATGCACAATCTTCTCCATCACTTTGCATGGTATGCTAGTTAATGCCACTGGTCCGTAGTTCAGTGCCTCCTGTCTGTCCCCCCTTCTTGTATATCGGAACTACATTAGTCGTCTTCCAAGTTTTTGGCTGTTACCCTGTTACTAGTGATTTGTTATATACCATGGAGAGTGGCTGACACAGAGCTTCTGCTCCTTCCTTTAGTATCCAAGGTGAGATTCCATGCCAGTTGGAAGTGACAAAGGCCTATAACTTTTGTCACTTCCAACTCTAGCAGATGCTTCCTCACCTACCCCACTGGTAATCACAAACTCATCTAGTGGTGTTTGGTTAGATCTTCCCTCTCCTGTCTCTAGGAATTTCCCTTGCTCTAATGTGAAGACCTCCTGAAATTTCTTATTCAGTTCCTCGCACACT